TCTCATAAGATTCACATTGAAACTATGTGTGAAGTTAAGAAAATCTACCTTCAGAAAGAATTTAGATTTTCTCAGAAGTCCTTGAATTTCCCAAGAGACCATCATAATCAGTCAGTTACAACTGATAAAGGTAAGTAATAAAATTAAAAGATATTTAACCACTTATTTAAAGTGTTCTTAAGTTAAATAAGTCAGTCAGTGAAAGACAAATACCATATGATCTCACATATAAGTAGAACTTAGTCAACAAAACACAAATAAGCAAAATAGAACCAGAGATTTAAACAACAAACCTACAGTGGCCAGAGGAGAGGGGGGAGGAGGATAACAGGGGAAGGAAGGGGAAGGGGCAAGCCAAGGCACACGAATCGAGGGCTCATGGGCCTGGACAGTGGGGGAGGATTGACTGTGGGAGTTGGGGGGATGGTGCAGGGGAGAGCAATGGGGAAAGGGGTGGGACAACTGTAACCGAACAACAAAAACAATAATTTATAAAACTATTACAGATTTACATTTACTTGGTTAGAATTTGTTTTTAAATTTGAAGGAATGTTTAGAATGCCATAGTTTTGTAATCATACCCAAAACAAGGAGATGATGGTAATTACATTAAATCCTGTTTTAGCAAATATGCCTTAGACAAATTATTAAGGGATCTTGTTTTAAAGTCATCTCCTGCCTTCATTTTTCTGTTCTAGTCATTATGCTGTGGACTGTTGATGGTGGTTATATTTGAGGATTTAAAAGTCTTTTTTTTTTTTAGAGATATGGCCTGTATATGTGGAACTGACCAACGAAAAGATATATGGCTGTGATTTCATTGTCAGTGCTACAGGAGTTACACCAAATGTAGAACCTTTTCTCTGTGGCAACAAGGTAAGGTGAAATATTTTGTCCCACTATGCATATTTTGAAAGTATTATTAAGATCTCTAATTCTCAAGCATGGATAATTGTTCATTGTGTTAGTATAAAACTGTAATAATATGACTTAAAACAATTTAGTTTATATTCGTGCCTTGATTTACAATGTTTTTACACATCAATATTTAAGTTTTTAGCAGTTAACATCCCAATGTAAGTGTCATTATTAATAGGACATAATGTATAACTTATCTAAATATTGATGAGACTGATACCTCCTATCAGTTCTTAAGTGGTATTTTAGAAAAACCATCTTGTAATTTTTGCTTTTAAGCATTTAAAGCTTACAAAAACTAAGAAATGTTCTTATAAGTAGGTTAGTTGCATGGTTATTGGATATTTTTGATGTTTCAATTCTAAGAATTCTATGAGTTGTGTCTTATTAGGAACTTGATTCCCTGGAAATTCAACTTAGCTGCCTCAACTTCGCAACTATTTTTCAGTTTCTCATTAAAGATCAGCAAATCATGATGTAAATTTTTAATTGTTCTTTTACTTTAGAATGAAAAAGTCATGTTTCATTTTCTTAACCACGTGTGCTTATGAGGAACATTGTCTAGTTTGCCCTAGGAGAAGATGGGGGCCTGAAAGTGGACGACCACATGCGCACATCCCTCCCTGACGTCTACGCTGCAGGCGACATCTGCTCCGCATCCTGGCAACCCAGCCCGTTCTGGCAGCAGGTGAGCCGCACGCACGGGCACGTTTGCATCACGTTCTGTTTGAAAACAAAGCAGTTGCTACCATCAAATCCAACTTTCTGGTTTTCTAACCTTTCTACTTTAAATAGGAAGTGATTATAGAGTTTTTCATGGCATTAAAAAAATAATTATTTCCCTTTTGGTAAGTTACAATTACAGTGACAGAATTAGATTGGTTATCTTCTAACTTAAAAAGTTATCGGCTATTACTTTCTTTTTCATTCTGAGATGCTTATGAGCATTGTTCTATGGAACCTTCTGTGATGATGGAAATGTCCTGTATTTCTGCATTGTCCAGTCAGGTAGCCATTGGCCTCATGTGTCTGTTGAGCACTTGAAATGCAGCTAATGTGACTGAGGAACTGAGTTTTATTTACTTTTAATTAATTTAAATAGCTACATATGGCTAGTGGCTACCATATTGTATAGCACAGCTTTAGATTTAAGAAACAACAGTTACAGAGATTGTAAGCTATATAGGTAAAGCATTCTTTTCCTGATGACCCTGTTCTGTCCCTGTGGAAATTACTGTTGGAAAAAAGTTCTGATAGTGAACAGCCTTCCTCAGTCTTTAGCCTAGCAGCTGCTTCCAGCTGGATCTAAACTTCCTCCAGCCCACAGTGTTGCCTGCCTCCTACAGGTGGAACAGAAGTACTAGAAGAAGGTACTCAGACAATGGCTATAGGTGAGGTTGTCTCAGTAGAGACATAGGTAGATATTAGAGGTAAAAGAACCAGGCAGCATCTTTCTTGGTGAAAGACCAGCTCTACAGGTAGTGATATTATCCACTCATATTAAGTATGGAATATGAAATAGTGGAAGAGCTAGCTTTTCAGGTGGCAGCCTTATTGTTTTGTGGGTGTTTTTTAATGTACAAAGAAATAATAATAACTAAACAGTGCTTTCAGCCTGTTTCTAAAATGCTTCAAACAGCTTGTTTCCAGCTTTCTTTACAGTCATCCTATGTCATTTTTGTGACATATCCATCACAAACTCTCAGTTAGAAATTGGAGTTTGTGGGATTTTAAAAATATTTTAAACCCTCTAGGGTAAATTATATCTTCAGTGTACATCATACTCTGATACAGGAAAGAAATACCCCAAAATAAACAGGTTTTTCCTGTTTTGAGTCAGTTCAATAGATGCCATGTCTGAGTTTGCAGAAGCATTAAGTACTACTAATGTGTTTTACATAGTTCCAGATGCAAACTCTAGGGACTTGGAAGCTGAAATACATCACTTAAGTGATAGTCTAGCAGTATTATAATATTGTAGGCCGCTTCCCTCAGCCATTCTCTAGTTTTATCCTGCTTCGTTTACTCTGCTACCTATCTACCACAGACTGCCTCGTACTTCATTAAACCGCACTTGTTTACAGGGAGGAGCCAAGTATAAATATAAATATAAGTATCTCACTTTTATCAGAAATGCTTGAAGCTTAAATCCAAGATTGTATAGTATTTTTGCACACAAAAAGATAGCATTAGTTACACAAACACATAGGGGTAAAAGGAAACTAATTGCTTATTATAGGCTCTTCTATTTAATTTTTCCAGTAGTCATGGAGGAGGTGGTGTATGTTTATGTTTCAAGTGAAGGAACTGAGGCTCAGAAAAGTGAAGTATGTAGGAGAGTTGATACGGAAATCCACTGACTTCCAAGGCCAGTGTTCTGTTATACCAGGGAATCCCAAGACTTTGTAGCAATACAGTAACAGAATACAGAAATTAATACTGTTGTAGAGAAGAATTTAAATGAGTTCCCAGGATCAGTTACTGAAATCTGATACGATATCTTGGAGCTGGGCACCAAGTGATATATCTATCTGACCCTTGAGGTTAGATTACATGGTAGGCCTTAACTATCCAGCACCTACAAATGAGGACTAGGAGAAAAAGATTTTTAGTGATAATTTGGCATCTCTGTTAATGCTGATGAGAAATTTACTCTGAAGTTGAGACTGGTTAATTAAAATGTAATTCTCACCTGATGTAACCTGAAATATTTTAGTAAGTTTTAATAGCAATTTTATTAAAACATAAAAGCTGGCGTCATCTTTTAATTTAGAGGCAGTGATTTAGACAGAATTATGGAAAACTGATCCAACCAGCCATCTAACCAATCTCAAGGACTGTCAAACACTAGACCCCTTTAAGGAATGTTACAAGGTTCAGGTGATAACATTTTTCGAGTAATATAATGTAAAATTATCCTGCATAATATTTTTTTATTTCAGATGAGGCTGTGGACCCAGGCTAGACAGATGGGATGGTATGCAGCAAAGTGCATGGCGGCAGCTACTTCAGGAGACTCTATTGACATGGATTTCAGCTTCGAACTTTTTGCTCATGTAACAAAGTTTTTTAACTATAAGGTAAGATAGATAAGCAAATTAGTGCCTTTTTCTGCTTGTTAGTCTTATAACTAATTATTCTCATCTAGTCTTACTTGAATAAAAGTTCATATAGTTTTAATCATTTTACAAAAAATGAAATGTTTTCTGATTTTATGCAAATCAATACTTGGTATTAATGCTTTTTAATTCCTAACTATCTGACAACCATTACCTACCTTCCCACACTATAACTATTTTATACTTTAGGAGGACTGTTCCCTGTTGGTGCATTTCTGATTTTTATATGAGATTCATTATTTCTTTGTAAGGGGAACTAATAGGTAGCTATCATACTCATGAATAAACAAGTGGTTTCCCATTTATGTTAATCTACTGTACATTAGTCGGAGGCAAGATTTTTGTTCCTGTTTTACTGATAAGGAGAAACACACACATACAAACACATACACAAGGTCCAGGGAGAATAAATAATTTACACATGAAAGATCTAACTCAGTTCCTTATTAAATCTTTAAATCATGTACCATCTGTAGAATAAATGAATACTACTGAAATTTTTCTTTGGAACCCACCCCAATGACACTTTTAGCTATAAAATTTTGTGAGTAGATTTTTCTGCTGACCATTCCAACATAATACGGAATAATTGCCTATTATGTTTCCTTTTTGGCATTCACTAAAATAACTTTTTTATCCCTGTATATTAATAGGTTGTACTACTTGGAAAATACAACGCACAGAGCTTGGGTTCAGACCATGAATTAATGCTGAGATGCACCAAAGGGCAAGAATACATCAAAGTTGTCATGCAGAATGGACGAATGATGGGAGCTGTATTAATTGGTGAAACCGATTTAGAAGAAACATTTGAAAACTTAATATTAAACCAGATGAATCTTTCATCATATGGAGAAGACCTACTGGATCCCAATATTGATATAGAAGATTATTTCGACTAAAAAAAGGGCATTTCGAGAATCGCATAAAGATTCAAATAAGACAAAATGTCAAGTCAATAAAGTAAGTGACTGCACTGATTTAATGATGACCACACTGAGGTTAAAAATACAGAAGTGACCATGATTTTAGTGGGAAAGTATTTAAAAATAAAATTCTAAAGATGAAGTCAATACAGGTAACATTTTTTTTCTAACACAAAATTGACTATTTATGTAAGAATTTTCAAGTTATTCATTTCTGTGTGTTAACCTGAGATGCCTCATGATTTATTTTGGAACAAATTTAGCTAGGCTGTTCCTACCCTAGGCTTGGCCTGGCTAGCAAACCAGAGCCATTCCTTGACTGTGAAATGTCAAAATAGGGCTGTCATTTCAAGCTTAGAGTTTTATTTTACTTAAGTAGAGAGCCACCTTACTTGCTAATCCTTGTATTGATACTTTATTCCATTCTATATTTGGATTCTACATCTCTTATAACCTGAAATCACTCACTTTTTGTGATGAGCATATGTAAAAATGTCAGTATAATAACATTGCTGTCAAAAGACAGTTATGTCAAAAGAAAAAAGTACAAGGCATAAAGAGTTTAAGATAGTTATGTAAATCTACTCTCCTAAGTATTTTACATTTAGTTTTACATTAAAATTTATTTTTCCCTCATTTCATACTGTACAGGATTCATGCTACTAAATTTTCAAAAGGTCTCAAATTCTCATGTCTTTAAATACTTTAGAGAGAAGTGTTTAAAGTATAGCTCCATGTGTATAAAATATTAATGAAAGTGTCAAACTTTTGATTAACTACAAAAATAATGGTGCATACATGCATAATACTGTTCTGTTCTTGGAAAATTTCGAAACACTCATCTCATGCATCATTGATTTTTCTTTTCTTAGCCCCTGTATTCTTAGACTCGGATTGCTGAAACATGTTGGCAGACTTCTTCCCGAAGTGATCCAAACTTTTTCCTTCCCTCTTTTTATCAGAGCCTTCAGAATGACAAGTCTGAGGTGATTCAGCCTACAAAACAATAACAAAGCAAACACTGATAAATATTCACCTATTCTGCTTTCTCATGAGATTAATAATCCCAATACTCCTTCTGTGTCAGTTAGCTCTTTAAGTATCCAGTGGTCTGGTTTTTTATCTTCAAATTTCTACTCCAATATGAGTCCCAACTTGAAGGGAAGGGCCTATGCCGTCAGGGAAACCCTAAAGAACATTGTAAGTGTCCTGAGACACGACCGTACGCAGCATGCTTCTGCAAGCTGGACAGTATTTAGTTCATAACTGCTCATCCACCTCTGCCGCAGAGGCAGGATTCTCAACCAACACTGATCCCAACCAAAGCCATGAGGGCAGGGCGCATCACAGAACTGGGCGTTAAGATGCAGGCTTCACACTCCAGAAGGTTAGAAACTCTCCCAGTCTCTATTCAAAGCCTAGTCTAAATCCTTCCACTTAATGTCTTCAACACCCAGATTCTAAGTAAAACACTGACTTAACCTCCTCTTATGTTCAACTGGACTTAGGAAAGTACTAGTTAAAGGGAAGCACCCACAGACTTTAATGTATTTTTAAAATGCTTGAAAGTTAAGTCAGTTACCTTGAAACAGGTCTGTGTGGACTTCTTTATTTGCATAGTAATAACATGTGCCTCATTGTTCAGAAGATTAGCTTTAGGTCCAATTTTCAAATATGAAATGGTAGCGTAAGCTGTAAAACTGTAGTCTTCTCTGCAGAAGATAAAGGCCACCAATCAGAAAGGTTTTGTGGAGTTACAGAAAACATACTGAAATATATAAAAATAAACTAAGTGCAATAATTTTAAGTAATACATTGATATGAAATAATGTAGGTTATACTATAAACACTCAATTTATAGAAACTGCTTTTTTTTTGACATACAGTCAATTATGATTGGAATATATTAGGTAAATTTTGTATAGTGTTTAAAGTTCAAATGAAACAACCACAAAACCATTTGTTTTGTTGTAGTTATAAAAATGAGAAACTGTCATAAAGATACATCATGTTTTGTGGAACATGTGGAACCAATTTTTGATTCTTGTGATTGAATAAACCGTCATTCTTATGGTACTGGTTTCCAGACATTTTACCATTTTATTTCTCTTAAGTGTTAACTGATCTCCTATTTATGGATCTACTGAGCTATAACTAATGCCTGTAAAATCTTAGTTTGCTTATTTCTAAAATTAAGATAATGAGAATGTCTATTCTCATTTCACAATGTTGCTAAGATTAAATGAGGTAATATATGTAAAAAGTGTAAAAAATATATATAAAGTATTCTATAATTATTATCGTTATTGGTGTATATCCAAATTACAGCTTTTATTCAAAGTAACCTTTTTGGAATTATAGATACTTATTCCACAAATACAAAAGAAAAATATAGTGAACTATTTTAAAAAATCATAAAGACAAAATGAAAGGGCAAGACGACATAGGTTTGTATATACTTAAGATACTGCTGTAGAAGAAAGTGCGCAATAATTTTCTCCAGGTCTTCACGAGGAAGTGCGGGAGGAGCAACAGCTGCTACCCTCAATTTTGCTGCTCCCTTTCCCATCCAAGAATCAATCAGTTTCAGTGGTGTAAGCTTTTCATTCATTTCCTCTGCCTGCTGCAGGATTTTGATTAGATCTCTGCAATAGGCTGTTACATTCTTTCTTTCAAATGCTGTAAGAAAAGAGGCATGGTTACAGGCAATTGGGATTTAGAAATTAGGGCAAAGATAGTCTATCCTAAGTGGTTAAACTGGTTTAAAAACAAGTCATCAATGTGAGCCACCCTAAACATTAATTTATTAATGTGATCTGAATAAAAACTAGGCTATTTCCCAAATCTCTAGCACTAAACTAAGTTGTAGGCTTTTTCAGACACTGCCATTTACAGTGATGCACAGAAATTAACCTGGTTATCAGAAGGCCTTTGGATATGCTCTAGGAACCAAAGAGTGTCTGCCAGACATGATGACGGCAGATGCTCCGAGATGAGTCAAGAGGAGAGTGCATCTATTCTGCATGTTTACCTGATGTGTGCTCACTAAGCAGTATTCTGAAACCTAGTACGGCTTCACAGCTACTCTTGATTTAGGACAAGAATGTACTGGACAGATATCCCCAGTTATTAATTGATTCTAGCACTCTATTTTATGTATCAGACTCTTGTTAATTTGGTCAGCAAAACAGTCTAATAAACTCATCAACAAGTAATTTTCTCTAGCTGCAAAGTTAAAATTGTAGTGACCTTCAGGCACCAAGGCATCAGAATTCAGAGAGGAACTGGTTAGTCCAGCTCCTCAATTGTAACTCACATATACAGGATGAAATCAAGTTAAAATACAATTCTAAATCACTGGCAAATTAGTGTCTTATGAGTAGTTAGCCATATCTGCATCAAAAAGGATTCACTATAATCTCTATTTTGCACAAAATTTATTTTTCTAGTCGGTTACTACAAACTATTAGAGATTATTACAAGGTAAATCTTTTCTTACATAAATAGCATTTGTATTCAGACAACTTAAACTTTTTCCCTTGTTTCTTAAGAATTTCATGTCCTCAGTAATAGCAACATAAATTATACACACACGACTCTTCCTTTTATTTGCCTTTGTCTCAAAACCATGTTGTTACTTTTTAATCTGGAAAATTCTATTCACACCTTGTTTAATCTTTTAAGTCTACTTTGGGGTCAAATCCTGCCCTCACGTAGCCCTACCCATATGTTAGCCTACACAGGTTTAAAAAACAATGAACTCACAAATGTCTTTACAGCAATTGTCGCACATTTTGTTACATGCTTCTGAGTTCCATACTTCATCAAAATGTTGAGCTATCAGTACCCGGCGACACCTGCCAACATGGATACAAGTTAAGTGATCTGATCAAGTTTTAAGAATCCCTATTTCCCTGGCTGGCATAGCTCAGTGGATTGAGCACGGGCTGCGAACCAAAGTGTCGCAGGTTCGATTCCCAGTGAGGGTACATGCCTGGGTTGCAGGCCATAACCCCCAGCAACCACACATTGATGTTTTTCTCTCTCTCTTGCTCCCTCCCTTCCCCCTCTAAAAATAAATAAATAAAATATTAAAAAAAAGAATACCTATTTCAAAATACAAGTTTACGTAATGTATTAGTTTCCTGTTGCTAGCATATTACCACGAACTTAGTGGTTTACGACAACACTAATTTAATATATTACATTTCTACAGGCTAGAAGTCCGGCGTGGGTCTCACTGGGTTAAAATCAAGGTGTCAGCAGGACTGTATTTCTTCTGGAGGCTCTAAAGGACAAAGCTGTTTCCTTGCCTTTTCCAGTTTCTAGAGACTGCCCGCCTTCCTCAGTTCATGGTCCCCTTTCCTCCATCTTTAAAATCAAGCACAGTCGGTTGAAAGTCTTCACATCATATCACCCTGACCACTACCCTCTTCTGCCTCCTTCCACATTTAAGGACCCTAGTGACTACACTGGACCCACCCAAATAATCCAAGCTAATCTCCCTATTTTAAGGTCAGCTGATTAGCAACCTTAACTTCATTTGTAGCCTTAATCCCCTTTTGCCATATAAGGTAATGTACTCACAGTTCCAGGGATTTGGATGTGGACATCTTTGGGGGACCACTGTCTGCCCACCACATAATTTTTTCTGTACATACTTGATAAACACAGCTTTTAAGAAGTCTGAGATTTATTTTGAGATTCAATATTTAACTATTTAAAAAAAGAATCTTCCTGGTAGCAGTTTCTTGTATTTTAAGTATCCATTTGAGTCTAACCCCCAAAATATGCCTCATGGGGGTCCACTGGGTATCTAAGAAAATTTTCATTTTCTCATTTCTTTAACTAGATTATTGTAGCATCTATAGGAAAGAAATACCATTTTCTGTCACTGTCTAGTTACCACTTGTTTCAAAATTTTTTAGTCATTTTTATGCAACTGGCAATAAAAATACAAAGATGACTAAGGCAGAAAAGTCATCAAGGAGCTATGGTATATGGTCTAACTAAATCCACCCTAAAGAGATTTAAATTTATTTCTTAAGGAGAAACTTGACCCTGCTCATCAACCCATCAGCTGGCAGGATGGTTAGTGTGTGTTACTGAGCCCAACTCCCAAAGCACCCCTCATACACCTGTACACAATTATTAAAGCTTGTGTAGCTATACACAAGCACCAGAGAAAAAAGGCTTGAACTACTTGTATCAAAGCCTTCAGTAAAATAGTTTTGGAGAATTATCTCTGAGACAGAATATCTTTTCTTGCATTAAGGCAGATCCTGCAGGTTCATGTGCTAGTTCTCACCCTCCAGACACCTACTCTTACATATTTACACTTGATGTTCTACTGATGTATTTACAGACTTTCCTAAGTACCCAGAGTAACACCATACACTTCCAAACTATGTTCGTCTTTAATTGACAACAGTTAAGAAGAGGCATGTGGCTTACTTGCTTATGTTCTGACAGTATGACACCATCTCATAAAGTTTCTGTTGTCCCACATTTTCCATCACCACCATTGAACTGACTCTGAATATGTCTCCAAAGCCATAATATAAAATACAGTCTGCTTTCATGTCATCTCGACCTGTAGTATGAAAGATCTTAAGATTGCAGAATTGTTTTTAAAAATTCAAAACAAGCAAAAGTAATATATGTAAAATCAGCTAGCTCATCTAACAATTTTCAGATGGAAATGTGAAAGTTAACTTGTAACAACTGCCCTCAAATTAAAAAAAAAAAGACTAGAAGACTTATCAACAATCAGCTTTATTAAATAAAAAATATGTCCAGAAGTAGTCTACTTATTTAAGTTACAGAGTTGAAACCACTAATTAAAAATTCAGGAGGCAAAGATGGACATCAAATCTTTTTAGCAAACATAAAAAACAATTCAGACCTGGCTGGTGTGGCTCAGAGGACTGAGTGCTGGCCTATAACCAAAGGGTCACCAGTTCCATTCCCAGTCAGGGCACATGCCTGGGTTGCAGGCCAGGTCCCCAGTAAGGGGTACACAAAAGGCAACCACACATTGATATTTCTTTCCCTCTCTCTCCTTCCCTTCCCCTCTCTCTAGAAATAAATAAAACCTTAAAAAAATTCAAAACATTCTAATAGAAAGTCAATGAAATATCTCTATAGGCAATTTAAGTATAAAATTGTGAAAAAGACTTGTTTAAATTAAGTCTTAATAGTAGCCAATAAAGATGAGAAACATAGAATTATTGAATATCATATGTAGTATGCTTTCTGAAAAAAGCTTTTTTAAAAGTGGCTTCTGAATTTGCATTATACATACCTGCACGTCCACTCTCTTGGTAGTAATTTTCCATAGATTTACTCATTGAATGATGAATAACAAATCTCACATCTGGCTTATCAATTCCCATACCAAATGCAACCGTTGCTACCACTACCTAAAATGTTTCAACATTTTACATGTTAATTAAGTCAAGTTAAAATATTCTTAAAGGTGAATTACACTTCTATTAAAGATAGATACTTAACCTGAATTTCATTCGCTGACCATCTTCTATGAACCTTGGTCTTATCTTCTGGTTCCATGTTGGCATGGTATGCACCTGCACGAACTCCCAGTTTCTGTAAACTAGCTGTAACTTGCTCGGAATCCTTCTGAGAAAAGCAATATATGATTCCTGTAGTAAAATAAGTCCAATTGTTTTATATACACATATGTGTATATAAAATACTCCTGGAAGAGAATTTTTAACACTGAAGATAGCAATTAATACAATGCATGGGGAAGAACAATTTATGAAAATTTCAAGGCCCTGAACACAATTGACTTTTTGGTATAATTCACAATCTGCTTGCCAGGTTGATCTAAAGCAGAAGTGAGCCTTGAGCCACAGCTGCTGGAAGCCACTGCCTCTTTTCTCTCCAGCTTTATCTCTCCCACTGCGTGGTCTTTCTCAAACTGATGCCCACAGCTCCACAAGATGTTAGCAAGTGTGCAGTGCAAAAAGTCTCATGTGCATGAGTTTGGGGAGCATTGAACCAAGATAAACAAGCTTCTCTCTTTATTTGCAGGGCTGGTCAGAACAGATATACCTGTGACTCTCCAGGAGGGATAAATAGCTAGTTGCAGTCTTTTCCAAAATTATTTCACTCTGAAATTCCTTTTACCTGGGCTACCCATTCATATCTCCAAAAAAACTATAGAACAATTTTGAAATACTGCTTTTACACAAGTTCTTTTGCTTCAGTAACGCTTGTTCATTAATCTTGAAACACAGGTATATATATTCTCAACTCCACCCATACTTAACTCATTCAATGTGTTCTGTTTATTCCTGTTGTGTGCCCTTTACTATAATGGGCTGTCGTTTACATCCCTTTAGAACATCAGTGCTTAACCTTCTGTCTCTCATACATAGTGGATACTTATTGAATATGTGCTATTAAAAATTAACATTATGCCATTCAATCTATTGTTTATAGTAATTAAGTATAAATAAGCAAAAATAAATCAGTTTTATGACTCATAATCTGTACTAGCAAATGCCACACCCAGTGTCTAAGATTGCCAAATTCATCTTACCATAACACGTTCAAGTATCTTCTGCCATGCATTAATATTTTTTGTGCTAATCATTTATCAGTAATATGTTAGTGTAATATTAGTTACTTTTTGAAAGTTCTCCCTCAGTCTTCAAAGATGGTTAGTTATTTTATTACCTGATTGCCCTTTGTATCTTCCATTAATGATCTTTACAATATCTTCAATAAAATCTTCAGTGTTTGAGGGCTTTTGCCGCACCTAAGAAAAACTAACTTATTAAAAAGTAAATTAATGAGTACCATTCAAGTAGTCACTTACAGCTTTTCAAGGTGCCATTCTTTCACAAGCATTGTTTTCTTCTATTATTCTTTCACTCCCTCATCTGACTCACCCCACCACCTCCCAGCCTCTTTTCATCCTTATTTTTTAATTTACCAGAGATGAGAAGGCACTGAGGCAGTAACTAATTTATAAAGATGAAAACTTTATTTTCTGATGCTACTTTTATAAAAACATAAGCCAAGGCATAAATAACTATTCAATGAAAACTCAGAAAAATATTGTCTGTTCTTAAAAGGATTAAAAAGGAAGAAAAGCAATTGTTAAGTTATTTAACTGTTATTAAATTTTCAGTTACTTATCAAATATCTAAATGGGGGTATTAGCAAATCTCTAATGGCATATTAATTTTATATTATTTCATAATTAATTTAAATAGGGATGTCATTAGAATCCCTATGTCGATCTCCGCTTTTTCTCCATCCTTGCACAAGAAAGAATGTGCATAAATTTAACAAGGCAGTGTATTCTTCTGAAAATAACAAAAAACATGCAACACAAGAGACAGCAGAAGCAAGCATTTATGAATGAACCTGCTTATAATTACCTCCTGGTTTTAAAGCTTTTAAACAGAGTTAACTGTTACTCATGTAAATAAACACAATGAAAGGGTAACCTCTCTGCTACAACCCTTCACAAAAGCTACAAGTTGATATAGAAGTTACATACCTCATAATAAAGATTTGGCCGATTAAAAGAAGCTGTAAAAGTGAAACACTTTTCAACACACAATATTTCCTGAGCGTCCTTCAAAACATGACTTGTTGCTGTCGCAGTCAGCCCAATTAGCGCTGTGTTTGGGAACTGCCGCTTCAAGATACCAAGTGCCTTATAATCTGGAAAAAAGAAAATACAAAGTGGCCCTCTTTCTCTCCTTTAAGGAACAGAGTAAATTAAGCCTTTTAACATGATGGAGATAATGATCGCTGTAATTTGATTTCCATAGCTACCTATTTCAGTAAGTCTGCAGTTGCAGCCCAACCTTTTCAAATAGGCAGGCTTTATTACACTTTTCACTGGTTCTTTGAAAACACTGCCCTTGGCCACAGATGGAACTCCCAGTTGAAGAGAGTAAATACCTAACATTTACAGTAAGCTCTGCACTGGTCCACACCTGCTGAACAGGAGACTTAAGAGGCAGTGGGAGTAACCACAGCGTTTGAATCTATTACAACTGACAAGAGAGAAAAGAGACTGTCAGCCTAAACACTTCCATCACTCGGAGTATCCAAGAGTCTTAAGTTCAGACCAGAAAAAGCTTGGTTAGGGCACTGCTTTTTATATAACATATTTCAGAGAAACTATTCTGGGCTCACACTCATCATACACATCCATACCAAATATCACTAGATACGTTGTCCTTAAGTACTTAAATTATTTGGAGAAAAGTGAAAAAGAAATTGCTAAGGTAGAGGACTATGAAACTACAGAGGAGAAAGTAACCACTTAGCAAGTTGTGAAGGTTTCAAAGAGCTAACATTTGAGTTGGGTCTTGAAGACCCAAGCTCCTTACAAAGGGAAGAGGAAAACAGCAGGCAGAGGAAACAGCATATACACTACAGACACACTGGCATGAAATTGCCTGAGAGGCTGAGATAAGAGCAGGCAGTTCCATAGGGCTAAATCACAGGGTAATGTGCTGTTTGGATCTATTGTCAACACCATTGGGCAGGGAGCTAACTATTTGACCTTTATGGCCCCAAGGTAGACCTGAAAGCTTTTTCTCTAAGATCATGAACAAGACAAGGATGCCCACTCTCTCCACTGTTATTCAACATAGTATTGGAAATCCTAGCCAGAGCAATTAGGCAAGATAAAGAAATAAAAGACATACAAACTAGAACAGAAGTAGAACTGTGTTACTATTTACAGATAACATGTTGTTACAGACAGAACATCCTGATGATTCCACAATAAAAAAACAAAACTATAAAACAAACAAATTCAGTAAAGATGCAGGATACAAAATCAATATACAAAAAGTCAGTTGTGTTTCTAAACATTAATCAACAAACTATAAGAAAGAGAAATTAAGAAAACAGTCCCATTTACAATTGCATAAAAATAATAAGATGCTTAGAAAATATTTATCCAAAGTAGTAAGAAATCTATACAACTGAAACTATAAAACATTGATGAAAGAAACTGAACAAGACACAAATAAATAGAAATATACACTGTACTCATGAAGAATTTAACACTACTACTTAGGGTAGCATTGTTAAAATGTTGATACTACCCTAAGCAATCTACAGAGTCATTGCAACCCCTTATCAAAATACCAATGGCATTTTTCACAAACTTAGAACTAATAATCCTAAAATTTATTTGGAACTGCAAAAGACCCGCAATCTTGAGGAAGAAGAACAAAGTAGAAGTATCACACTTTTGGATTTAAAACTATACTACAAAGCTATAGTAATCAAAACAGTATGTTACATCTCAGTAGTCTAGTAAGATAGCAGAGCCCTTGGTAGAAAGAACAGTATATATACTGTCTATGGTATTTAAATCAAAATTTTAAGAAACACTGTGCCCCAAATATTTCCAAAAGTAGAGAATTGCCCTCAGTCCCTGGGGAAGCCTATTATCCCTGGGGAAGTGTAAGAAAAGGTGAAGACATCAGAACCAAAGGGAACACTATTATTTATGGAGGTGGTAAATGAAGAAGAATGAAGGAGAGAATGGAAAAGTACAAAATAAGAAGAGTTATATCATAGTAACCAAAGGAGAAGAAAGTGGCAAAGTGAGAGGTGGACAGTATAAAACACAACTGAAGGTAAGTGGGAAGAGGAAGTAGGATGAGACCACTAGATGGAGCCAGTGAGAAGTGGGGTCACTGGTGACCTCTGAGCAGGGTGGTGGAGGACAAAGTGGGATTCAATAATCTCAGGAACCCAGGGGTCTATATGAGTGTGAAACCAGGTTCCGAAGGAAAAGAGGTTGAAATCATAGAGCAGGATTTTTAAACAGTTTTTTCCATAGAACAAGTCTGAGTAATCTGCTTCAGGCTATGACTGTAGCATTAGGTTGGAGGAGTAAAGAAAAGAGTTACTAAAATATCCCACAGAGTCTGACCACTGAGGAGTTAGCTGGGTGTGGGTCCTGAAGTAGATGCTAAGGACACTGAGAATGACAACCAAAGAAGACCACTTTGAAGAAGATGAAAATTCCTCAGCAGATGTGAAGAACCACCTAGAGGTCAGTAAATCTTTATGGCTAAAGGCGGAATAGTATATTTGCTAACAGACGTATGTTTCAAAGGATAAAGGCAGTTAGGCTAAACACTGCCTCAGAGGGAGTAAAGACATTAAGGATGCTGCCTCTTCGCTCTCCTTATATTAAAGCAAGAGAAAAGGAATAATAACTACCCAAGAGGATAATTTTAATGGAAGCAGGAATTTTCCATCATGTAAAGCTGAGTAATAAAATAGCCCCAGCATCAGGTTTTCCAGACACAACCTGCGTACCAGGTCTGAAATCATGACCCCAGTGGCTGCAGCAGTGAACTTCATCCACAGCTATTCGGGTAAGTCTCTTTGCCTCATAGGCTTTCTCTAGTCTTGACATAAACATTTTGCTTTTTGCAATTTTCTCTGGAGTCACATAAATTAGCTTCAGCTTGGAGTTTTTATTTACCATTTCAGCATGAACCCATTTCACATGCTCCTGTTGAAACGAAAAACAGACATAATGATAGTAGAACTAAACTAGCAGACTGCAATACTAAGTGGTAAATGAAAGTGTTCATTACTCAAAAGCAATAGCCCCGGACTGTTTAACAGCAGATACTTAGCTCATTAAAATTGAAACCATGTCCCAGCACTAACTTCATGGCAGCTGGGTAAATAGAATTTTAATTATTTACTTATACCCAAAGTGTTGGTAGAAGAATAATCTCACTTGACAAAAAGAGAGCAACAAATGAATGATACGATACTCTAATAAGCATTTATTCTATGAAGACATAATTCTAAACTGTTCATAATAAATGACAAAATGTAGGCTACGTGCAATAACTATGGTTATAAAGATGTGTTATATTAATGTTAACATTATTATTTGTAGTTACTACATATCTCTCAACCCAATTTATTCTTGATTAGCTACTTTAATGATGCTATCAATCTACTTATAATCTCTTTAGGTTTTATAAAGTATCTTATTCACTGAATTAAGATTTTATAATACAAAGTACATATTTATATATAATATATAACAAAAATAAATTTTAGGAAGTAACAGTTATTGGGTAATGGTTATATATATTTTGCACATTAGATGCCATTTTTTCTTTCTCACCTAATTAGGACCAAAAGCAGTGTAAAGAAACAATGGTGAATGTGATAGAAAGAGAAAGTCAAAGCTGCTTGCATTACCCACCAAAACAGTTTTTTAACTCCTTGAAATACTCCTAATTTTGTTAAGAAACAGCCAAAATACATTAAACATTTCAAGTGGTCCTATGTGTCTCAGAAATCTTAGAGAAGCAAACATAAAGCTATCTCTTCAGAAATTAGCAGATGCAAACACAAACAAACAAAAAATACCACCTAGAACTTTCTGGAAGAGTAAGTGAAGAAGCAAGGTTTAAAAATAAAAAATATATTCACATTCTATGAACTACTAATGACAACGACCAGAAAATTCAATTCATCCTTTCTATCCCTAAATTTTCAAGCAGTAGTGATATTGCATGAATCTGTAATTATCTGCAACTTTCTAACTACTTTCTATATTTTATATATATATTTTTAAACTTTTTTCAGTTTAAAGGAAGAATTGTATGAGAAGGCAATGGTCTCCATAGATTCATTCTGTTGAATAAGAGAGTGCTACAGTGACACAAAAATTTAAATAAAACAAAAACATATGGGAAAAACTAAAGGAGCCAGAGTTTTTTGGAGATATGGCTGATTCTAAGTCTGGAAGGAAATATACAAAATGAGCCTGAAGCACTTATTATAAAAGAAAGCAAGGAGCGAAAAACTATGGGGTGAAGGAAGAAGATTCAGGAACCAATTGAAATAGACTCTCACTGCCCAAAAATGAGACTATGTCAGCATAAAAAAATAATAACTATGGGTTAAAATATATCAAATATGTTAAAAACACACACATATATGTATATATGTGTATATATATGTATGTCTATATTGGGGTGAGACTTTATTAACTACCTTTGGAGATGCTGGAAATCAACTCTTTTTGAAAACTGGTAAAGAAAAGAATTTTCAAGCTGCAAAAAGTTAATAAGGAAAAAGTACTTTATAGAAAAGTTTAGAGTCACAGAATCAGAGAGCATCATTTTGTAACCCCCTAATTAAATAGCAGCTCCAAGATAAGAAATAATCATCAGTGGCTGCTAAACCATTAGATAAAAACTGATAGAGAAATTGATCATTACAGATCAGGCAGACATTACCTGAACCCACTGGTCAAGCTCAACAGCACAAAAAAATAACCAGGTATCATGTAACTGCTGAGTAATGCCATGGGAAGTATACTTATGCAATTAAAAAAGAAAATCTAAATCTAAATGCAGTCAAGCATTTAGATATAACTAAAAAGAACGAGTTAAACAACATCACAAGGATGCAATCAAGGAAATCCAGAATGTAAGAAACTAGAGGATGAAGAACCTGGTTCCTTCAACAAATAATGTGCATAGGAAATAAAAAGAAATAAGGGGAACCTGTGGATATATCAACCAAATACAACATAATGCATGAATCTTATCTGGACCATGATTTAAAAAAAAATTAAGATTTGACAGATTTCAGAGGGGAAGAAGGTGAGGGGGGACTAGAAAAGATTAGCCAAAGGACATATATGCATGTGATTAGCCCATGGGCACAGACAACAGTGCAGTGAAAGTGGGGCAGGGGGGCACAGGAGGGGCTGCTGGGTGGAGGGGGGCAAAGGAAGGGAAAATAAGGAACATCTATAATAGCATCAACAATAAAAATATTAATAATTTAAAAATAAGAGTTGATTACACAGAGATATCTGAGTATTTTTATTTGATGATTTTAAGGAACTGATTTAAAATACTGAAGAAGTTATAACTGAAATATGACGTCTGGGATTTGTTTCAAATAAACAAACCAAGAGGGAGGAGGTAGGGAAAACAGAGGGTGGATAGATGAAGAAAGGTTGGCCATATGATGATAAACATTAAAGGTTGTTAATGGGTACATGGCAGTTTTTATACTATTCTCTACTTTTATATGCTTTTGAAAATTTCAATAAAATGCTTTTTAAAAAAGAATAGGTAGGAAATGCTTTATTCTGCAGGTGAATTAAGAGCGTCCATTCCCAAACAGAAGAAATTCCACAGGGGTAGGGTATTTTGTTAGTATAGTTCTTTTTTTAAATTTAGTTATACTGCACAATTAAAAACTCTTGCTTACTATTTTATAGTGGATAATACAAAACACGTCAGCAAGCATTTCCTGTGAAGTGCCAAATAGTAAGTATGTTAGGTTTTGTGAACCATAGGGTCTCTATCACAACTACTCAACTCTGCAAGTCAATGAGCATGGTTGTGTTCCAATAAAACTTTATTCATGCACACTGAAATGTGAATTTCACATAATTTTCACACTTCACAAAATAGTATATTATTTTATTTTTAGCCATTTAAAAATATAAAAATCAATCTTAACTCATAAACCCTACCAAATAGGCTGTGAGCTAGAAATGGCCCATGAGCAGTAGTTGTGGCTCCTAATATAAATAGCAATCAGTTTAAATTTTATAAGCAACTTAATTGTAGCTAAGGCTCCTACTGCAGTGAACAGTTAAAAACAACAAAGCCACAGAAGCATACCTTAGAACTAGAAGCATTTAACATGGTAGCAGAAATTTCTAATTGTTGTAAAACCATTAATTGGTCTTCCATAAGAGAGATCAATGGACAAATCACAAGTGTAAAGCCTGAAAGAGAGAAAAATCTAATTTAAATTTTACACCACCACCAGAACAAGTTTCGACCTTTACTAGAACTTGTGGGCACCACCTATCAATTCAGACTAATTTTCAATGCAACTTTAGCTATACACTATTTCTTACCCTCATTAATAAAGGAGAAAGATATGAATCAATGACCCTAAGCCAAATAAGCAAATATATGATTAAGCAGAAATCTCTCCCCTTATTCAGTCCTACAAAAATATAGCTAGTATCATTTTGCATTTTTAATTAACTATCATTTTTAACAACCAGTATTGGTAATCTCAGTAAAATAATATAAGTCAAGTCAAATACTATCCAGTTACATTAGGGAAAAGTTATTCCAAAACATTATCCCCCAAAAACCACAGCGATCTGTATAAGTGAAAATGTTACATGGGTATTTGTCTATCACTGCACCAGGTTAATGTATTCTCAGTAGAAATCAGTGAACAGTTCATTAACTAAATAAAGTTCTGGTAATATATCCCCCTTCTCTTATAACAAATTGTTGATGGCTATTAAGAGCTATTCTACATTGTTAAAAACATGACCTCATGTTTCTACTCTTTATTTCTTAAAATAACGTTTGGAAGAGGGCAGACACATTTATTTTTTAACAGACTTAAAAATATTTTAAGAGAAATAACATTTCCTCAATTTAAAATCAATTTTTATTTACACATACCATCTGAACACAACGCTGGTAACTGGTAGCATAAGCTCTTCCCACCTCCTGTAGGCATAACAAGAAATATGTCCTTTCCAGACATTGTTACATTAATAGTTTCAAGCTGAAGCAGTCTGAACTTCTCCAGTTTGAAGACATTTTGCAGAACATCTTTAACTTTAGCAGACCATGGAAAATCTAGAAAAAGAAAAATAAGCTAAATGTATTAGATTGTTTAGGATTATAAAGGAGATGCAGTGCATGGCTGCTTTTATAGTAATCAGATAAAAATATATAAGACTTTTAATACTCTGACAATTTAATTTTCATAATAACATTTAGAGATTAGTTTAACTCACTTAGCTAAAGCAAAACCAAATTTAATGATATACCTTAAGAACTAATGTATCAGAAAAAAATCAAAGCATCTGCCAGTTGAAAATTAATCTACAAAGAACACAGTGTTTGATGAGATATTAGAAAAACCATCTGAATGTCAACCAAGAATTCAAAGTATCATAAAAAAACTCAAATATTATGAACAAAGTTAACAATTACCTGGAACTTTTAGTCTAAATACCTTGTTTAGAAGTGAACCCCTAGAAAGCAAGCTCCACAAAAGCACTGTAATTCCTTCTAGAGTTATAGTATTCTTTTGTTTTGTTTATTTGTTTGGTTGTTTACCAATGTTTATTTATTTTTCAATTACAGTTGACATTCAATATTATATCAGTTTCAAGTGTACAACATAATAGTGACACATTTGTATAACTTACAAAGTGATGCCCCGTAAGTCTAGTACCCACCTGGCCCCATAAATAGTTATTACAACATTACTGACTACATTCCCTAGCCCTGTACTTTACATCCCTGTGACTATTTTGCAACTGCCCATTTGTACTTCCTAATCCCTTCACCTTTTTCACCCATTCCCCAACCCCTCTCCCATCTGGCAACCATCAGTTTGTTCTCTGCGTTTATGAGTCTGTTTCTGTTTTGTGTGTTTTGTTTTTACATTCCACATACAAGAGAAATCATATGGTATTTGTCTTTCTCTGTCTTCCATTACAATTAATGATACACACGACACTCAGCATGTGTATCATGAATTGGCATGTGATGCTTGGCAGGATCTTAAATCAAAAAAGGTTTGTTCACAAGAGCATGAAAATGAACTAGAATTCGGCAAAAAGTTTGAGTTTCTAATTGTTTATTTTTGTCTAGTGAAATTTTAGAAAATTTAGTTAAATATCTTATTTTCCCAAGGATAGATTCACATTGTTAACATTACTGTTATTACCCATATTTGAAAAAGTAAAATAAAATTTGAATGATAAAAATGTAATTAAGACCATGCCCTGGCTGCGTAGCTCAGTGTATTGAGCGTGGGCTGCGAACCAAAGCATCGCAGGTTAGATTCCCAGCCAGGGCACATGCCCGGGTTGCAGGCCATGGCCCCCAGCAACCGCACATTGATGTTTCTCTCTCTCTCTCTTTCTCCCTCCCTTCCCTCTCTAAAAATAAATAAATAAATCTTAAAAAAAAAAAAAAAGACCACTGAACATGGGCAATAAAAGGTCTGCCTATAAGTTTCCCATGCCACTCAAGGAATAGCCAGTTTCACCTCTAAGCTCACTGGAAAGTACTGGCCCAGGCACAATGATTTGACTCCAGTTTAAAAAAAGAAAAAGAAAAAGGCTAGCAAAGGGAAAAAAAAAAGAGCAAACCTTCTTTATTCCAAGAGGCAGGTGAAGAATCACATTCATTGCTTCCCCCAGCATCAGAATCCTCCAAACAATGTTTTATTCTGTTTGTTAGAGTGTTTTTTTTCTGAGTGAGCTCTTGTTGCCTTTCCAGAAGTTCCTGAATTTGAATGTCTACTGCATGTAGCTCGTTGTTCACGGAATCCAACTCCTCAGTTAGATCTAGGAGGGAGGAAAAAGGATATAATACTGGATAGTCAATTACAATTTTAGATTTCCCTACTGATTTTTGGATATCCTTCACCATCTAAATCACAGATAAATTTATAAAAGTTTTGCAGTCTGCTTAAGAACATTTATTTTGAACTCACACAGGCATGACTTAAATCTCGGGTCCTTCTCTTACCTGCTAAGTGACCTCATGCAAGGTACTTAACTGAGCCTCGATTTCCCTATCTGTAAAATGGGGATAATACCTAGTTTTCATAGCACTATTGTAAAGAATTAGGTGAGATAACATATTGAAGATTCTTGACACAGTAACTGGTACACAGTTATGCATATTTAGTAAATGATATCTATTTTAACTATGGTGTAGGGCCATGATCCAACAATCTCCTAAATCAAGTCAAACAACCCAACTTTGAAGCAAAAGGAAGCTACTGAAAAGTAATCCTCTAACTTATAGCGATTATTTCACAAAATTCTTGTTTTGGCTCATATGGTGGCATAATAAGGATTCAATGATTATGAACATGATGACACGATGAGGAAAAAAAGAATCAAATGTGCTATTGGAACTGGCACTACAACATCATAACAAATTGATAAAGAAGCCTTAATACATGAATCTAATCAGACAAAGTCAAAGTGAGACTCCTTTTGACACCACATAAATGGAAGCTGTAAAAATTTTAAAGATGTCCTTGGTGCTTCACAAAGCATCTGCCTGCATTATTCAGTGTCCACTTTTAAAGCCTTTTCATGAGATAAAATCTTATGGTTATGACTTAAAAGAGGATGTTTTGGTGACTTTGTATTGCACCAACTGCCAGAATTCCCTTCCCTGTAGTTGTGGGTTATGACCGGCCACAAGTCAGCTCTGCACGAGATTTGGAAGGTGGCGGTAACAGCAGGCACATTTACACTGAGGCGGTTGGCATGAGGTCAAATGCTGCTGCAGCACACTCATCATGCATCTCCTGTTGGTACGGGGCAGAAGCCAGTTCTTCCAGCCCCTGATGAATCTCCTTGGGGCAGGGCTTGGTCCACAGCTTCTCTGACTCATTGACCAATTTTAGGTGCAACTTCCTGTGACAAGCATACCAGCTCTTCCACAGGGCACCAACAACCTGGAAGCCAGGGCCTCGTAGGCAATGACAGACCACAGGAGTCCCAGTGAGAAACAGGCGAGTTGCACGTGGTCCTTGTGGGTTTCAGCGGGTCCTTACCCGCCCACACTTCACATCCATCTTCCCATCCCTAACGCTGGCACAACTGACATCAGGACCAGCTATGAACTGCTTAGCCAGCTCCTGCAGTGCTATAGGGACTAATAACTATGATAAACTTCTTATATCAGATTGAAACCTAACCAACACCCAACACTGTTCCAGATGAACAGAAACTTAGGGGTGGGTGCTCTCAATGGCTTCTAAGCCATGTGGAATTGGGTCTCTTATCTGATCAAAGACATTAATGACCTTTGTTTGCAGTGATAAAGGGACAATTGTATTCCAGGGCATGCAGTAGACAAAATTATTTAAATTATAATCTATTGGCACCAGTAATTAAGTATCTAGAAATAAGAATTTGGGGACAGAAATGCAAAAAGGGACCTCAGAGTTGCTATGACTGTCCTAAAAGAAATTTTACCTTTTGTAGCTACAAGATGAAGATTACTAAATACCAGCCCTAAGCCTACATCCTGGCTGAAAGTCATCTGGCTGAAATTCAATGCAAATTGAATTTCATTCAGCCATCTGGCTGAAATACAATGCAAATTGAATCCCCAACTTTGCAGGGACTCATATAAAGGCATTGATTAGAAAAAAGTGACACTCTGTAATTAGGATGGGATCATTGGGGCAGGTTCCAGTGAAGCAAGAACCTTGAGCCACTAAATTCTACTAGGTCTCTTTTGTCCCTCCTTCCCTTTCTGAAACAGCCTCCTCCTGCCCAAGATACCTATAATGGTACTTCCTCTGGTAGTTGTTTTGCAAGGGATCACAACTCCTCCTAAGGATCTTCCCCCATCACCTCTCAGAGCTTCAAGACCCAGAAAGTTCTAGAGGGTGAGATACAAAAGTGTGATCCATGAGAAGACACAAAACACACCAAACAAGGTGCACTGGCATATATATATGCCAGAAACCTAGGGAATATACATGGGAAGAGATCCTAAGGGTACTAAACCAGGGTGGATGGAATATAATATTGAATGAAACTAAATTTATGGGAATGGACTCAATAAGAAATTCTGGATTTAGTGAGCTAAAAGAGTGCTCAGGAGCCGCTCTAATAATTTACTTAGCTGATTGCCAGAAACTAGGCCCCAAGGTGAGTATCAGGAAGCTGGATGGAATGATACAAGCGTAGATTTCAACGGAGTCAAAGGGCAAGAACTTCCTGAGTGCACTATACAGGAGGGGATCTAGAGGCTTGAGCAGATCAGAGGTCTAGAGTGGATTATCACGTAAACTGATTATCCACTCTCCTGCTGTACCCCAGCAGGACCTGGAGGACACTCCCTTCACCCAAGGCTGTGAAAAGTGCACTCATGAGGAGAGCCCCAGTACCCTTGAAGAGCTCTGGAGTGGCGGTTCTCTGTAGTCAGGAATGACAGTGGGAAGTGCTGCCTTTAAACTAGACTACCTGAATCAATGAGAATGATGGATTCTAAGATATTGGAACTAAATGGTGGCAATTCATGACCAAAGAAAAGGTAGATGTGATTGCCATACTGGGCAACAGAGCAGAAGCAGTAATCAGAATAGCCTGACTCACAGAGATCTTTGGCAATGGCTAGTTGATCACTGTGTTGCTGAGATGGAAAGAGATGAGTTGATTGTACAGGTAGAACATAAAGCCCTGCTTCTCATAAACCTAAGTCTCATTTGAATCACCACAACAGAGTTGCCATCCTTCAACCAATTCCCACACATGAGCCAATGTACAGACCCCAAGGCCCTTGAATAAAATGGAGGTCGGGGCCCTTTGAGTAATGACTCTACTACACATCTAAAAAATTTGTGTAGTAAATCTTTCCACTAGTCTCCTCCAAAGAAACTTATCAGAGCAATTGTGTATTAGAGAAAGGAAAATAACATCTCAGAAATTGCCTGACATTGATAGTAAGAAAAAGAACTGTAAAATCTGTAAGAATTTCTTCCTTATTTTGATATTTGTATATACATGTTGGGGTTTCACATTTTTGTTGGTGGAATTTTTTTTTGTCTCTGCTATTCTTCTAACATCTAAAATAAAGGGTTAATAGTAGCTAACTTCTTATCTCAGGACTAAAGTTAAAGGATTATCATGGAGGATGTGATTCAGCAAGAAAAGGAATACTCATCAGTGAAAAATGAGTAGAATTTGTGCCCTTTTTGGAGTAATGTGTATTTGGTTGTATATGGGATAGCTGTGACATGCTAAGCAGAAGCATGACTTTACTATTTCCTTTATTTGGAGGTTAAACATAATTAAATCAAAAGAGGAGTCTATGGGTACCGTGTAGGCAAAGGGTGAAGTCTGGTGGCTTTGCAATGTGATAACTTAGTTATGCGAGAACTACATTTCCCAAAATTCCTTCCCTGCATAGTTCTAGATTAGGGCAAGGAGAAGTTTGCCAGAGATTTGGAAGGTGGAAGTGAAGCAGTGGCCATATTTACCATATTGAAGAAGGTCAGTGTTAAGGTCTGGGCTGGTGACCTCACAAGCATGTAGCAGCAGCTGGGCCCACAGCTCCAGTTGCTGCTAGACACCTGTGAGGAAACAGCAGCTCCCTCAGCTTCTGTTGGTTCTCTTTTCAGCTTCTTTGAACCCTCGGCCAGTCGCATGCAGCTCCATGTGAAGGAAACCAGTTTTTTGACATGTCTTCTGCATCAGCCAAATTAGAAGATTTGAGGTGATGACAGACTAATACAGATTCTAGTAAGAAACAGAAGTTCATCTTCACAGGTAGCAGTTTGTTTTTGCACTCCCTACAACATCTTCTTTTCCTGACTGCTGGTTCTGCCAACTGCAGGCCCAGTGCCAGACACACAGGGAACATACACACATTTCTTTAAACAGCTTAACCACTTCCCATAATCACATAAGGTTTAATACCTATAGTAAACCTCTTATATCATTCATAGTGCTCATCTTCTCTGATGCAACCCTACCTGACAGAGATGTTAATTAATGTCAACCTATGGTACAAAGTCACATTGTAGCTTAGACAAAATCCTGGTAGCCTAAAAACATTTAAAAGTACAGCTAGTTGTAATAAGTTGGGTATTTAATGTTTTTTGTTCAAATTTACATCACTTCTAATGCTGGCATATGCAACACAAGACGTTACTATATGAAAGGAGATTGAGAAGTCAAGCGTATGGTTTCAACAAGCCATAATGAAGAGGGGCTACAAGTGAACAGGGCTTATTATGGCAGCTATATGTCAAAAGCACACTGAATTGAGTGGAGATTGCACTCCAGTGTTCCTAAGCTTACTCCAGTGTTCCAGTGATGCATGAGGGGTGCCAACCTTCAGAAACAGCACACTTTCTAGCAATATCACAAGCTGAAGTTAACATTGAAAGTGATTTCAATTAGATCCAAAGTCATCAGATCCAAAGTAACAAGCTATCTGAAGGCAGTTTCAAAAAGGCATTTCAATTGTAGTTAAACAAGTGGGTAGAACCATAGAAGAGGTAGACTGATTTGAAAGGGGTACCATATTATGAAAGCAATTATTTGAAATAAGTATCTTATTAAATAAAATTTATCTATTTCATTGTTCAGTTATTTTAAGTCACATCCCACTCATAAAACTGAAGTCTTATTAAGTAAAATAACATATGCAATCCAAAAATGATCATACTAAACTGAGTTGAGAGTCAGTAACATCTCTTAAGCCCTCATTTAAATCTCTAAGTAAAGACTACTTGCATTAAACATTTAATACAATTTAAATTCTTAACATTTATTATAAACTCTCAGAATGTGAGAATTGAGTCATGAGTCAAAGCCAAAATCTATGTCACTATTTTTTCATGTTTATATTTAAATAAATTGTAAAGTTGGCACAGGACAGGGGTGCCATTTCTTTCAAACTTGAAAAAAACCTAATCTTGTCGCTGTATTATTAGAGCTAGTATGTAGCAAAGGCCATATTCACTAATCTACACAAAAGACTGAAAAATAACCACAAGGGTTCCTCACCTCTGCCTTCCACCTCTTAATATATAGCAAGATCTCCCTAAGAAGCACAGTCCAATTTGGTCAAGTTTATGGGAAAAAACAATGGATAGATACATCAATATACCAACTGTATCTGCCTGGAAGAGGTACAATGAATGTTTTTCTTTTATATTTTAAAAACATTTCCAATAACTCCAGTCATAGGAATGTATCTTAAGGAAATAATCAGAGAAACAGACAAAGCTTTCAATTCAGATGTTCAAGGCAGTATTTTTTTATGTTTTAAAAATGGAAGCAGTATAAAAGTTCAACACAAAAAAGATTAAGTAACATTATTTATTTAATGTCACTTCAAAACAACAAAACACAGCACAGATATTAGAATATTTAGAACACAGAATTTATTTAACAGTATGTTTTTATTTTATATTTACATTGTTTTTAATCATGTTTCAAAACAGTATGTACAATATACTTTTTAAATTTTAATAAAAAATGAAATGTTATGGTATTCATTTGAGCAGTAAGATTAAGAGTAATTTATATTTCCTACTTTACAATTTTTAAGTTTCTAGAATTCATTCAAAAAAGATATCATTCTCCTTGGAACCCTTATGCATTGCTGGTGGGAATATAAAATGGTGCAGACACTATGGAAAACATACACAGCAGTTAGTCAAAAAATTCAATGTGTGATCCAGTAATTCCATTTCTAGGTATATACCCAAATAATTGAAAGCAGGGACTCAGGTATTTGTATATTCACAATTAGCCAAAAGGTGCAACAACCCAAATGTCCAGTAATAGACAAATGGATAAACAAAAAGTGTTATATACATGCAATGGAATATTATCCAGCCTTAAAAAGATACGTTACAAATGGATGAACCTCAAAGACATTATGCTAAGTGAAATAATCTAGACACAAAAGGACAAATATTATATGAATCCACTTAAGTGAAGTACCTAGAACAGTCAAATTCCTAGAGACAGAAGGGAGAACAGTGTTACTAGGAGTTGTGAGGAAGGGGGCGATCCGAAGTTACTGTTTAATAGCATACAGAGTTTCATCCTGTGAAGATGAAAACGTGTGAAGGTGGAGATTGATGATGACACACAACAATGTGAAGGCACTTAATGCCATTGAACTGTACACTTAAGAATAGTGAAAGTGGTAAACTTTGTCATGCATATTCAGCATAATTTTTAAAAATCTGAAAAAAAACAGCATTTCTGTAATCAGAATTTTTAAAACAAATATACTTTATTTTATTTATTTTTAGTAAGACTTTTATTTAGAGCAGTGTAAGGCTCACAGCAAAGTTGAGGGAGAAGTAGAGAGAAAAGCAAATATTTTTTCAAAGAATATACAGTTAGAAATAGAACAGAATGAAAAACAAAATGTAATCATTTCCACTAACCTGAAAGAGATGCCATTCTAAAACTGAATTGGAGATCCAAATTTCTTTCTAAAAATGAAAGAAAAATCGTAATAACATTTTTAATATTACTATTGATTACACTCAATCAGTGATACTCTGCCACAACTAAGCACCAAAAAATGTTAGAAAATAGCACTTTAAATAAGGACCTTTTAAGTAAGGACTAAATGGTTCTTACCACACTGATTTTCATGGAAAATTCTCTATTTTATGAGTCCAAAGTCACATAAACATGTAATAAGTACAATGTAAATTACACAATAAGAAATCACCACAAAGTGATGTAACAAAAAAGAGAAAGATTTCAGGTTAAATAGTGATAGTACTAAATTACTGTGTAATTTTAGCAAAATTACACACCTTGTTCCCCCCAGCTTCTTTCCCTAAGTGTAAAATTGTGATAGAACCTATTTTGTAAATAGCAAGTTGGATAGATTCAAATGTCCCAGATTAAGCAAAATCCATCAACATAAATACCCAAATTAATCATTTCACATTATACTGAATACTTGCTTTAAAGAATTACAATTTAGACTCCATTTTAAAAAATGATTTCATATTCTATAGGGGTGGGAGGGTAAATGTCAGAAGGAGAGAACCTGAAAGCCTTAGAAGTAGGAAAAACACATGGTTTGTATTAAACTCTAAATACCTATAAATGACTAACACATAAGAGTACATATATGAACAAGTGAAAGGAGATGAGGCTTAAGGGTAGGAACTTTAGGTTGCCCATAATCTCCAAGAACACCACCTCTAACTCTGATATGGACTATAACAAGTTCTAAAACTAACTTAGAATGTTCTCCGAAGATAACTTGAGCATGAAGCTACCCTGAACCAGGCTACTGACCTTATGCCCTTCCTAACATAGAATTCTGAAACCAACACTAGGCTGGAAAGAAGACCCTGTAGGCAGGGTCTTCTTTGCCTTGCTAGAGTTTGGAATAGCCATGGCATGTAATATGTTAAAGTAGGGAAGTAGAGCAAAGACTTTTAATTCTTTATTTGTGTAAACATCTCTTCACCACTTTGTGGAAATATACTTCTCCTTCTCTAGACTGCAAGGTTTTCTGACAGGGGCTGAGTCTCCTTCCTTCGTACTCACCAGAGCCTAGCAAAGTGCCTTGCATGTAGCGCAGGCTAGGTTCGCTGAGATTGAAAGCTGAGGCTACCTCTACCCTTATGAAAGCATATATTCTATCACCATTTCCTTCCACTATTTTAAATGATGGAATACTGTGCAGCAGAAAGAAAGAAGGAGCTCCTATCCTTCCCAACAGCATGGATGGACCTGGAGAACATTATGCTAAGTGAAATAAGCCAGGTGGTGAAAGACGAATACCATGTGAGCTCACCTATAAGGGGAACCTAATCAACAAAATAAACAAGTGAGCAAAATAGAAATAGAACCAGAGACATTAAAATAAAGAACAAACTGACAGTAACCAGAGGGGGGGGGGGGGTTACAGGGGAAAGAGGGGAAGGGTTGTCAAGGAATTTGTATAAAGGACACATGGACAAAGCAAAGGAGGGTAGGATTGAGGGTGGGGTGGGGGTAGTTGTGGGGGAAAGGGAGATAACTGTACTTGAACAACAATAAAAAACTTAAAAAAATAAATTTCTTTGATTATCTGTCAAAAACTGCTAAGAAATTCCGCCCCCAAATGATGTGATTTAGTATTAAAAGATTTATCAACATAAAATATGTTCAGAAATGAATGAGCTACAGCAAGTCTGTCAGTCAAAAAGCACAGCTAGGCACCCTTAAAATCACAAATGAAAGAAGTCTAGCCTTGAAAACTATCTGAGCAGACATCAGTTCAGTCATACAAGCAAAGCTTAACTTAGCTTACTTTGTAAAACTAACTTAACCTGAGTCGTTTCTCATTTACGCCTCTGCAAATTATAAGCAAAATGTGCAAGTTTCCCAAGGTTAACATGAAATAATCACTGACCAATTCCCTATCATTTAACACAACGTTAATGTTATAACAAATCACTGTGAAGATAAGCAGCCACCACCTTCTCACTGTATAAGCTGCTTTTTAACACACCTTTGAGTCTCAGAACGTGTTTTGATTTGAGTGCTCCCAGTTAGCTCAATCTCTTTTTTGTGTTTGAAAAAATAAACTTTCACTACTTCCGTTATTCACTGGTTTTACTTCTGTTGTTTCTGAATTTTTGACAGCACCCACAGGAAATATTTTACACCCAATCATCGACGCTGACGGAAATGCCACCGAGGTGCCGCAGGTTTAATCAGACACACATTTCCCCTCTCCCTGCCACCGGCGTTTAGAGGAAACGGCAATTTAATACCCTCGCTCACGCGTCCCCCCTGGTGTTTCCCAATAAACGATGGCTGCCAATAAAAAGGCTTTGGCGACCAAGCTTCCTACATGGAAAAGGCTGGAAATGAAATGAACGTGTCCTCCTGAGTTGCATAGAGCCTGGCGACGATAAACAGCGTGGTTTCTCCCCTGTCAAAGTGAAAGGAAGTGACCCGCTAGGGACCGGCCTCGCCTTCAGGCAGGAAAAGGAAAGTTTAGCCCTTACAGAGCGTAACCGGAGAAACAGCACAAACTCTCCCCAAGAGGTTAAAAACCTCTACTCCGGCCTCCCCAGTCTCCGACCCCAAAGCACCCTGAACTCAGAACGGCCACTCACCGCTTTGTGCCGCTTGCCAATAAAAAGTTCCCGCCACCAAGCTTGCCTTTCTCTCCAGCCCTGAGCATCCACCCTTCCGGGTCGATCCGTTCAACCAATTGCAAGTAACATCCTCCTCTAATTGGTCAAGGGGTGTGGCCACCATCGAGTCACCGAACAAGACTACGGATAATCGGTGGATATAGGGAGCGGGTTTAGCCAATAGAAAGCCGTCTTGAAGCTGGGGCGAGAGTGTCTGCGTGTTTCCGGAAGACGTGGCGGCTTTTCCCTGGGCTGTTTCCCGGCTTCATTACTCCAGATTTTGCTTCGCATCCTGGGTTCCTCGAGGTGCCGTCGTCGCCGTCCTCCCCACTGCAGCCATGATCTCCTTAACGGACACTCAGAGTAAGAACCTGCCCCCGGTCCCCGCCTTGAGCCTCGCACACCCCTAGCTTGGGCTGGGTCTCGCTCTGCCGCCCCCCACCCCCACTTACGGGTCAATGAATGAAGCTCCGCGTTGGGGGCGGAGGCCTGCGAAACTGCTAGGGCTCTGGGAACTTGGAGGGCTGCCTTGAGGGGGCGAGGGCTGGCCATGCAGTGGAGGACCTGGCCTGGGAGTAGAGTCAGTGCCGTCTGGGGAGACGCCCGAGCTGGGGACCCGGTGCTCTCGCCGAGGGTGTGTCTCGCGCCCGGTCGCGCCGCTTTCTCACCTCCAGTGAGATGGGCGCTTTGTTCCTGCGGACTTCCACCAGAGAAAGTTTGATGTGCGGCGATAGCGGCCCACTCTTGAGGATGTTCGTGGACAAGACTGACTTGGGGTCCCCTACAAGTTACTGGCTGGTTGTCTGGGAAGCGGTATTTTAAATGTCACCGATTGCAGGCTCTCTTTGAAAATATGCTCACACTTAAATATGTGCCTTTTGCCAGCAATGGAGGCAACCTTCCAAAAATCCCTTGAAATGACTTCACTTTTTTACCAGCTAATGCTTCTACAATAGTAAGAGGTCACTTTGTGTTGGTTAAAGGATTTCTTTTGTTAGTATTTTATATTGTGCTTTGTGACCTGTTTTACTATTTTAGCATCTCTGCCTGCCTGCTTCAGAATTCTGTAGGCCTATCTTTTCTCTAAAGTTGGCGTTGCTATGTTTACTTTTCTTTCAGTGTAACATTCCCACTTTTGGATTCCTTTCCTCCAGTCTTAAATTATCCTCACGTATCTGCCCAACCTGTGCTACTTACCTTTTGACAGTCGAGATATTTTTATCTCATTGTGCATTTTCAGCCACGCCTTTTACTTCTTATTCTGGTCCACCTAACTTGGATTTTCAAGATTTTGAGAATTAAACAGTCTATTGAAATGAAAATAGCACTGTATTTTGAAGTGGCGTTTTAAGGTTTGGATTTGAGTTGTGGCTGACTTGAACATCACAGAGCTTCTAAGGAGGTGTACACACACAGCCACCCCATTCAGGCTCCTCCTTCCTGAGACTGGACTGAGTCTGCACTTTTTGGGGCTACCTGCCCTGGCCCTTTTTGGTCATTTGGCCTCATCTGTTCTGATCAGAGTAAATCTAAGTGTAGTCCTTTTTTTTAACTGTTATAATAAAAACTAGCAATTGTATAATGGCACCTTCTTTCAGTTTACCATGTGCTTTCACATAAATCATTACACTCAATTCTTCTAAGAGCCCTGTAAGGTAGAGAGGAGTATATCTCTTTTATAAATAAAGGAGGCTCAAAAGAAATTCAGTGTATGGTCATAAGTAAAGTTACAGAAACAGTACTTGATCTCAGCTCTGCTGTCTTAAAAACCTTTGTTCTTTTTACTGTACTCTACCTACCAGCATATAAAAGATGATACAAACTTTGGGATCTATCTAAGCATGATGAAATTCTTGCACAGCAAAAGTAGTTCCAACACTAGGTAATATTTTAGAGAATTAAGCATTTTTTGAGAAATTTTGTAGATACTCAGAGCCTATTTTTTTATGAGACACAGTACTCTGTTAAATTAAAATTAGATTGCCCAAGGAAACTAACAGAATTATATACATAAATTGCTAGAATTTATTTTTAACTCTAATTTCTTGAAGTATTAAATTCTGCATAGTTTTCCTATCTAACTGTAAATTATTATTACTCCTATGTATCCGAGTTTCTGATTGTTACCTAGATATAAATATGAATTATTTATCCTATGCATGTACATTCTTTGATGTTGAAGACTTACAGGGACAAATTCCTCATTTCCATCCTTCCAAAAACCAGAACAAGAGAGTTGGATTGGAGTATGGGCAGAATGGGAAGCATTCTCCCCTCTTCATTAAGTTGATGGGGAAAATGTATGGTGCTCTTTGCTGCCCTTCTGCCAAATGTTTTAATTAGGGCAGTGGATTGGAACACAAAATGATTAGTGAACCAAAAGCTCTTTGGACTTCAAATGGTGTTTGTGTATTTAACTCCAGGTATTGGCCATCATTCTAGTGACTTGCCAAGATTATTCAGAGAATCTGATTCTGAGAGAGGGTGACCAAGTGCTGATCACAGTACAATAAAAAACAATTCATGACTGTTTCAAGAAAGTCTATAATAGCACTCCCCCTCCCCCCCCCCCCCACAAAAACACAAGATTTATTGGGTGGGACAGCATGGGCCGTTCCCTTGCTGCCTCTAAATCTTTACTTCGTTATATCACGTAGCCTGAAATTCTACCATAATACACAGTTGAGTTCAATTCAGTTGATACTCACTTGAGCTCTTTATTCTGACATCTTCTATTTTTTAAAAAGGTATACAAAGAAAGACAGTGCTGCTTTAAAATATTTAAGATCAGATACCAAAATGCTAAAGTAAGTGCCATTGGATTAAGCATGTCTTTTCTTACAAAATTTCTACAGTAAGCTTTTTGATTTAGACAAACTCATTTAATTAGATTCCTTTTATCAGATCGTTTGTTACACACAATGGCAAGAGAGACAAAGGTTTGATGGTGCACAAGAGGAAGATAAATTTATTTTACTGGGTCCGTTTCTGGTGATGAGAGGACAGGCTTCTGAATACACCGGCAAAGGGAAGAAGGGAATTCTGGAGATGAGAAAAAGGCACATGAGGCCAGTTTGAGACTTTTGACCCCATCACGTTAGGGAATACTTGGCAACATCATGCTAGTGCCAGTTTTGGGAAAGATGTTACAAACATCTGCTTGACTACACTGGATAAAGTAGTAGGAATGTTTTGGTTTCCATGTTATAGTTGTTCATACCATGGAGTCTTATATCGGATTTGAATTCCCAGCCTGACTCCACACAACCACCACCTGTCCTGCCTCACCCCCACGCCTCACCACCATCACCACCACTCACATATTTGCAGATTTTGTGGTCAAGAGTAAGTTATAAATCTCTGAGTCTTTTGTTGCCCATATGAAATGTGGGGCTGGTGCTACATTTCACCTCACAATTTGTTAAAGGAATTACAACACATTTGTATAAATACGTCATTAAGTGTAAAACCATATTTAGACATTGTCCTTTTTCATTATAATCAATTTCTAATAGTTTTTCTAACATCTACTTAGTTATATTAATAAACTAATTATATTAAGCTTGAATCAACTAAAGACCCTTCCCCTAGAAGTTCAGTGTATTCTAATGACTTTGAGTTTCATTCAACCAAACAAATTTAACCCAGAAGTCCTGTGGGAAGCAGTATGGCAAAATGGTTAAGCATACAGACTTTGGATTCAAATACACCTGAGTTCAAATGCTCTATGGGAATGGAAGTGTGACTTTAGGCAAATTAAGTCAGTTCCTCTAAACGTCAGTTTGCAGCATCTCTAAAATAACGTAATGATGCCCCCTACCTTGCAGTACTTTGGGGAGGTTTAAGTTACATGAGATACGTAAAGTACCTTGAAATGGTCAATTCTGGTAAATTCTCAATTATATGGCAATACAGATATATTTCCATATATTTTCTTTTCTGAACAAACATCTCAAAATTTTTTATGTAATCATTAGTATAATTTTTGAAAAGATAAAAATCAGTCATGTTCATTTAACTCGGGTGCCAGTAGTTAAACCCAAATTACTCAATAGTTATTTAATGGGATTTTCCTTGCCCTTATGTCCATATTTTCCTCTGAGAAATTATGTCTGCCACCTAAACAGTTATTTTGGTAAATTCTTTTAAGGCATTTAAGCATGAAAGTATCAACCTCAAATTTTCATAGAAAATAGTATCTGTGGAATACACTTACCAGTGTATTTATAGACAAGTACCTGAATTTTAGACCCCCTTTGGGAGAAAAAGGTAGCTGGAATGGAAGGCAGTAGAGGAATTAGAAAAAGGTATGTGATATAAATTTTCAACTCATCAAAACATTTTACATGGCTTAACAAAACTTTTTAAGTAGCTGTGACCAAGATTTTAGCTTTCTGGAGCTGAGGGAAAAAAGTTAACTAACAGATCAGAAATCACTAACAGTGTATTTAAAATTATGTTTCCAAAAATATGATGTTTTCTGCCCTGATTCATTATTTTATGCAGATGGTGCTTCTGGGTTAAATTCAAATTGATAACAATTTCCTGAAAACAAAACTAAAATGATCAAGGAGGTGACTTGGTGGTTTGATTGTGCTTTGTAGTATTAACAGAAAAGTACACCTGTAACCTTAGAAAGTTACATTCTTCACACTAGAAAAGATAAGTCCTGGAGAATGTAAAGGCAATAAAAGTATTAATTTTATATACAGACTTCAAAGCTTACACTTCTCCCACCACTCTGTACATACTCAGTACTTAGAACAGTTGCTGGCATCTAGGAATTCATCGAAAAAATTCTTTGTTTTTAGTGAAAGAGCAGAAACTCATAATATGAATATTAGGTAAAAGTGTTCTTTGAAACTTTGGAGAGGTGACTTCAGGACTAACCCTAGTCACCTCTCAAAAATGTTAATAGATTTATAGTTTAGATAAATTTATAGAAGATAAATCCATGATAAGCCATCAAGGAGTTAAAAGTGATACGTAACTTTTGAAGAAACTGCTACCTGATTCTCAAAGTATTTCCTGTTGCCACTGTATTGAAGTATATTCTGCTGACCTA